AGTAGCTAGGATTACAGGTGTGAGCCACCAGCGCCCGGCTAAAGATTATTTCTGATATCAATTTCTTTGATCATCCATACAACTGAGGATATTTTTCATGTATTTACAGATATTTATGTGTGTTTGTGACTCACTAGGTCCTGTTTGGGGTGCTGATGTATTTTCTATTTCATCTATTTTGTTCTCAAATGTTTATTTTTTTTTATGTCACTGCTTTCTTGTTGCAGCTCTCTTACTTGAATGGAGTTTGGTCTTTTACTAAACTTGAAGCAAGAGATTAGGTGAAAGTATATACCTGCAAAGAGGGGGTATTAGCTTCTCAGCATTGCAATTCTATTTTGAAGCTGTTAGAGTATGAGAAGCACCAAATAAGATTATCCTGTCAGCAATAGCTGCAACTTATGGGAACGCACTCACGGGAGAATGTGTGGCCACCAGGTGTGTCTGGAAGTTGATTTGAGAAGGTAAAGTTCCTGGTTTTCACATACGAGCTGCCATTCAAGTGAAGAATCTGGTCACATCTGGTATGGATCACTTTCCCATCCTGCCTCTCTTCCCAACACAATCATGTCCTTGTCATCACCAATAGTTGAGGGCAGAAATCACACTCCTGGCTATACATGCAAAAAGATTGAGCTGGGCACTGGTGGCTTATGCCTATAATCCTAGCTACTCAGGAAGCTGAGATCTAAGGATCATGGTTTGAAGCTGGCTGGGGCAGAAAAGTCCCTGTGAAATTCTTATATCCAATTAGCCAACCGAACACTGGAAGTGGTGCTGTGGCTCAAAGTGACAGAGTGCTAACCTTGAGCAAAAGAGTTCAGGGACAGTGCCCAGGCCCTGAGTTCAAGCCCCACAACCACCACCACCAACAACAACAAAAGAGATTGAAAGTAAGATCTTTGCGGAAGAGAAGTTTCCCATTGTCAAGAGGAATGAATGAAAAGTATCATATCTATACAGTGGACTATTCTAATTTTCAAAGGAAGAAAATTCGTACCTACGCTTGAGTTAACTCTTAACACAAGGTAAGTAAGTGAGCTTCAAAAGAAGGCAAGTTGGGTGGGGAATGTGGCTTAGTGGTAGAGTGCTTGCCCTGTATGCATGAAGCCCTGTGTTCAATTCCTCAGTACCACATACACAGAAGTGGCACTGTGGCTCAAGTGGTAGGGTGCTAGCCTTGAGCAAAAAGAAGCTCAAGGACATTGTCCATGCCCAGAGTTCAAGCCCCAGACTAGCAAAAGAAGAAGAAGTGTGGGACCTTCCGCCAGGAGAGGAAAAAGGTTGGATGAGAGGTTGGGCTGGAAGGAGGTTAGGAGTAGCAAAATAGAGGAAGACATTCTTTGATGAGTGTGTTGGTACTGGGGCTTGAACTTAAGGACTAGGTGCTATTCCTTAGCTTTTTCTGACTTGAGCCACACCTCCACTTCTGGCTTTTTGGTGGTTAATTGAAGATAAACATTTCATGGACTTTCCTGCCTAGGCTAGCTTTGATCCTCTGATTTTAGACTCCTAAGTAGCTAGGATTACAAGCCTGAGTCACTAGGGCCTACCTTAAAGGATGAGTTTCACTGTTTATTTTGCCCATTGTTTTGGTTCATATTTCTCTTGTCTATGGATACGTAATTTTTCTTATGGTTTTTTTTTGTAGCTAATTCTATTTGTACTCAATTTCCCTCCCACCCCCCAAGAAGTACCCAGGCTTGTACTCAGGGCCTTATCCTTTTGCTTAGCTATTTCTGCTCAAGCCTGGCATTCCACCACTTGAACCACATCTTCACTTCTGGATTTTGCTGGTTAATTGGAGGTAAAATTCTCTCAGGGGTTTGTCTACCTGGGCTGGCTTAAAACCACAATCCACAGATCTCAGCTTCCAGAGTAGCTAGGATTATGAGTGTTCTATACAATTTCTTTAAAAAGTCACTTTGGTCCTTAATTTAGGACTTAAAGGCTCAATGATGTTCTAGTTCAGTTTGCATAAACATTATCCAGAGATCTTGGTCACAGGGTCCGTTGTGGTCCAGCAAATCTGGGGTGTGCCCTGAAATTCTGCATTTCCTACCAACTTTGAAGGATACAGACTCTGCTGACTGATGCACCTTGTAAGCAAGGGCAGGAAAGCGCCTTGCTCGAAATCTAGCCTTGCCTCTGGACACGCTGAACCTACCCCCCCTTGCCTCTTTCTGTGATGTTGAATACCAGCCAGAAATCAGAACGTGGTAGACAGCAAAGCCACCTGCACTGGCCACCATTCCTGCGGGCTGTTTCCAAGTGGATATGAGGAAGTGGTTTGTTTAGATCACAGCCCTCAGTAGAGTGCTGCTTCCCCTTTAGGGGTTATGTAACCTATAGGTGACCAGCTGCCTGCGTTTGGTCCTTTGCAGAAAGGAATGTGCTGGAAAAGAGCCTGTCAGCTTTCCTTTTTCCCTTCCAAGAGTAAGAGGAACACAAAATAAACCTTTAAAAGACATGCCCCGCCTACCCCACCCACACCCTCCAATCAGGTCTCACTTCCTAATCCGGCCACCACCTCCCAGTTCTCCCAGTAGCACCACCAGCGGGAGACCAAACTTTCAACCCTTGAGCCTCTGGGAGAACATTCCAGATCCAAGCCGGAACACTTTTCCGTGGCAGGCTGGGGATGGAACTGCTGAGGGAGCAGGGGAACCAGAAAGAGGAGAGCGGTCTCGGTCTCCAGCTCTCCTTGAAGACAGCCCAGGCGGGCAGAGAAAGCACTTCTAGAGGGCAAAATGGAAAGGCTTTGCTCGCACCCTGACTCTCTCCAATTCTCCCCACTCCCCCGACAAATATCGCACCTGACCTGTTCCCCAGCCTGCACCTTCTCTCCCTCGGGCAGGAAGTTCTGATCTTCTGGAGAAATACCTGGGTTGGGTCTGTCATGCATCACCCCATTTTGCCTTCTCTTCCCTCCTCCAGGCCACTCCTCCGGGGCCTGCCCTGACCTTCTCCCCATGAACTCTGCCCTAATGGGGGTGGAGTGTTTTCCCAACCGCCAGCCACAGTTCCTTGGCTAGGGTTGGGGGAGGGGGGAGATTACAGGCGTGCACTTACACCTAGTGCACAAATTGCAAACTAATCTTTATTGTAATATTAGCTCACTGGGAACTGCAATCTGATAGAAGAAAAAAGGCTGGTTTAACATAAGAGTCCTTTTGTAAAATGATTATTTGCCACTTGCACTGAACCGTAGTGTCAGCAAGCTGTCCCAGTGCAATCAGAGACGGCTGCGGAGGCCGGCAGGGAGCTGACCCTAAGATCAAGTGGGCTCCACCTAGCTCTTCCTTTGCTCCCAGGTTGGCCGAGCAGAGGAATAGATCAGATGTGCCTCGTCTGTCGTCAGAATCTGCCGCGCTCTCTCTTGCGCACCAGCCCTGGCACGCTGGTGCCTGTCTCTTCTCTCCTGAAATTGCTCTGCTTCAGCTTCTCAGTTGGGTTTTGCAGTCAGATAGTCTTATCCTTCCTCGATGTTCGGTGGGCGCAGAGAGCTGTGAGGACTCAGGGCCCCTCCTCCCTTCATCAGTGCACTGCAAGGAAAGGACTTGGTGTAAGGAAGGATCCATGTTTGTTGGGCATCCACCCAGGGGACTGAGATCAGAGAATTGTGGTTTGAAGCCAACCCAGAGCAGGAACGTCCATGAGATTCCTTTGTTTTTGTTTTTGTCCGTCAAGGAGCTTGAACTCTGGGCCTGAGCACTGTGTCTCAGCTCTCAGCTCAAGGCTAGCGCTCTACCATGTGAGCCACAGCGCCACTTCCGCCTTTTTCTGCTTTGTTTTTTGTTTGTTTGTTCAAGACTGGTACTCTACCACTTGAACTATAACTCTAGCTTTTTGGAGGTTAATTAGCAATAAGAGTCCCACAGGCTTTTCCACCTCAGTCTTCAGATCTCAGCCTTTGAGTAGCT